AAAAAAAATATCATGAGATTTAACATAGGTCATCATAACAGCCTTATTTCGACAAGGAATACATACTCCTATTTTGTCGGTAATTTTTGATAAAAGATTTTCCGACCCAATGATGAAGAATATCATAGTTTGCATATGCGGTCATCTTGTAAACACAATTTGGGATTTTCTCATTTTCATTTTTCAATTATTGCGAGTTTTATATTTTATTTGTAAATTAATAAATTTATCTATTAAGTTCTCACAGTTTCAAATTCTAGTCAATATAATCCAATTAGAAACAAATCATCCAAATTAATAATATTGAAAGCCTAACCACTTATTCATAGTTACACTATGGGGTATTTGTTTTATGAGATTGAAACATGAGATTAGACTTCATATCCAATAGAATTAAGGCACACATACCATAAATTCATTTCTGAATCTTTTGGGCCATTAGGCCCAAGGTCTAATCTCTTTGGTCCAAAAAAATAACTATTTGTTAAAATCAACCTATATGTCAGTTTGTTAAAATGTGACACATGTCACTTATTCAACAATCTTATCTGTTGAATATCACATATTCCTTTACCTCACCATCGCCACCTGCTGCCGCCGATTGCTACTTTTTCGGTGACTTTTCTAACACAGACAACCTTTTTCAACGTGTCCTTATCACCAAACATAATTTTATCTTAGATCTAATGCTTTATACACTCTTTGGAATAGACTCACCAAATTGTTCATAAATTTACTAGTTCATAGTTTGGTAAAAAAAAGTGAAAGTCAGGCTAACAATCAAATACACATTATTTTCAATCAAATAGTTTGTAGATTATTTGTCTCAAGAGTAATCGTCTATTCCAAGTAGGGATGGTCATTTGTTCCCACCTCGCACCCGTATCTCTCACCCTGCCCAGTATCGCACGAGTTTTTCCTGCCCTGTTGATGAAGTAGGGTAGGGACAGATTTTGCTAACCCCTCCCTGATTATATTTATTAAATATATTTATATGTATGTAATATATAAAATTTATTTTTGCATTATAATAACATTAAAACACTAAAAATATTATACTTAATATTAATTTTTAAACATCTACTTTCTATCTTATATGCTATAATTTTTATTAATATTTTCATTCTTCAACTTATAAAAATAAACCCGATATTCGCTCCACATCCGCCCCCTACCGCCATCCCTCGATTTGCCCATACCTAATATGAAATAGGACAGGGACGAATTATGATAAACTCATCCCAAACCCAACCCATGACCATCCCTAATTGCAAGGTAAATTTTACTTTGCCCATTTCATGTTTGATCATTTTTTCACTTTGAGGCTTCTGTGTTTTGTTTTGTTTTGTTTTTTTTCCACTTCGTCTTTCATGTTTCAAATTTTTCTCAATTTACTCCTAAAACTAACTTTTGCTTAAAATTAGATAGAGAACGCCACATTAACTGCTAAATAACATAAAAATATATTATATTGAGATTTGGGTTCGTATCATAGGTGTGAGTTCTATATAATAAAATATTGTTATGTCACGTGACTATCAATGTTTTTTTTTTTGGGTCTAATTTTAGATATAAATTAGTTTTCGAAGTAAATTTTTTTAAAAAAAAAACCAAAATAACCTTGAAACATAAAAGGTCAAAGTAAGAAGAAAAAAAAAAGAAAAAGAAAAAGAAAAAAAGACCAATGTAAGAAAATAACCAAACATAAAATCGGCAAAATGTAATTTACTCATCTATTGCATTGCAATATCTTTTTATTCAATCCGTCTAAACAAACATTCCCTATATTTATTACAAATTGCACCCTCAATTATGGGTATTAGTGTAATTAAAGAAAATAATTTACATGGTAATTATTTATTTTGTAGCTAATAATGAGTTTACTATTTTGCTTCAAAATTAATTTGCCTTTCCACCTGCTACTAGGGTAGGAATCAGCCATTGGCCCGCTCAGTCCATTCTGTCTGAACTTATTTCGTTAGGGTTTAGTAAAGTTATTTTAATTTATAAGGTCTAGTTGAGCTAACATTTTTAGCTCAATATATTAAGAGATTGGGTTTGAAATTTATATTTTGGGACATTTACCAATAAGTCTCATACATAAAGTTTAAAATTCATTTGATCCCAAAACAAAACACTTGCACCAATTAGTCCTACATATTTTTAATTGTTACCAAAAACTCCTTTTTTTTTTATAACTTTAAAAATGCTGCTATATCCCATCACCGCCGGACTTCCGTCAGACGGTCACCGGAGACGAGCCGGAATATTTAACATTACCAGGAAGTCACTGGAAAATGTCATTGGAGTGTTCTGAACATCACTGGAAAACGTCAAGAACATCATCAGAGACTCATTGCAATATCTAGAATATTGTTGGGGAAAAAAAAATAAATGAAAAAATTATAGTGAAACAACATAGCGAAACGTGCTAAATATTGATAACTGAAAGGGGAAAGAAAAATATAACAACAAACAACAATAGGAAAAATTATATATTATTTTTCAATTTTTGTAAGGTTTAAGCAAATAATCTGTAATATTGATCAAACTGAAAAATAAGTTTTGAAACTGTAAAATGTTACAGTTTCAAAGTATGATTCTATTAAGTATTTATCCTAATTATTGTAATAAAACTGGAAAGCATGTTATGAAACTTGCAGTTTTAAAGCATGATTCATTTCAGTTCCAAAAAAATAAAAACGGTAAAATTTTACAGTTTTCACCTCCTGTAACTAAAACTTAAAAACAACTTATTCAGAACTTGAAATTTTTCTTCATTAAAACAGAAAAATAGAAGTGTATAAGAGAAAAAAGGTAGAAAATTAAGAAATCGAAGGAAAGAAATAGATATAAAAAAAATATTATACTCCGGCAACTATTTTTTGTTTAGATTTAGTCGGATCTTATGTAGATCTACTCAGATTTGACGTAAATCTACATCAGATTTACTCATCTTCTTCGCTGGAAACTCGTTTCATTTGCCGTCGGTGAGTATGAAGTAAGGAGTCGATGTCGGTGATTATCGGTGAACCCTAATCAATGGTGATTGTCGGTCACCGGTGACTACATATTAAAAAGAGAAAAAGAAGAAACAAGGCTTGGTCACGGATCACCAACAATAAGGAAGAGAAAGAGGTAGAGAAGAAAGAATGCATAAAGAAGAATGAGGAAGAAAAACCGTAGTGAACTTTTGAGAGTATCCAAAAAGTTGCGGAGCTAAATAGATTTCTCTTCTCTTAAATAAGACTTCTAGGTAATTTGCCCTTATATTTTTAACCCAATTCGGCCCAACTCGTTATTAAATTAATTAATTAATTATAATATATTAAAAAATATATTTTTAGTTGGGATCATATTTATCATTATTGATTCTATGTACAAAGCTCTCATTATGTAAATATTTGTTTTGAATTTATTAAAGAAAATTTTCAATTTATATATAAAATATTTTAATTTATAATGATATTAACATATTTATTTATGAAATATAATTTGTGATTGAATTTAATTATGAAATCATTTAATTTTTTTTAATATATAACCTAATAAATGGATTTAAGATTTATAATTATTTTTTAAGTTAGATTAGGACAAAAATAAAAGCCCGATCTTAAAATCTAACCGGACTTAAATAAATACAAAAAATTTCTTATTATATAGTGGTGTTTTAAGAAGTTGACAAAAAATTAATTTTTTATTTTTTTAACCAAAAAGAATTAACTTTTTAAATAGTAATTTAGGTAAAAAAAATTAACTTTTTTATCTAAAAAAAATTAAAAATTACGTTTTTAACAACTTCCCAAAGGAAGCCTATCAAACCGATATGAATGCCCACCTCTACCTACAACTGGGTAGTACAATACAAGTTGAAGTTGACTGGAGAGTCTCCGCACACCAGCACATGGTTCAAAAAGGTTAGATACACGTGTACGATTCCTCTACTCTCTCTCTCCTATTGGAACCAAGACTGACATACCGCGAATGAAGCCATTAGCATATGCTACTTCGGCGAAGCTCGCAATTGCCATCACACTCGAAGGCGGCCAACTTTATACACGCTTTATATTTTATTTTTTATTTTTTATTTTTTTAAGTCATATTATTTTTTGTAAGTCATATTATTATTATTTTTTTATATAATTTTTCATAAAAAATAAAAGTGTAGTGATTGGTACCATTAATTTGAAATCATTAAACCATCACTAATAAGGTAGAAAATAAATATAAAAAAAAAAACAAGGCACACTAGACACTGGGCGAAACTTACTGTCACATCATTAATGACACCACTAAGAGATGTTTTGGGAAGTGGGTTATAATCCACTTCTCAGATTATAATTCACTTTTTTCTTTCACAAAAAATTAATTATAATCAAATTTTAACCAAAAATTAATTATAATCATCTTTTCAAAATAGCATTAATAATTGATCTCAAACATGATTGCACTACTAAGAGATCTTTTGAAAAGTGAGTTGTAATCCACTTCTCAGATTATAATTCACTTTTCTCTTTCACAAAAAAATTAATTATAATCAATTTTTAACCAAAAATTAAATATAATCATCTTTTCAAAATAACATTAATAAGTGATCTCAAACATGATTGAAAGTAAGGCCTTATTTGGCATGATTTAAAAAAGTTAAAAAGTCATTATCTTATTTAAGTCACATCATCTTATTTAAGTCACATCACTTCTCTAACACATCACTTCAAACTCAATTCATATCCAACCCATATTTCATAAAAAATAAAAAAGTACATTTAGTTAGATCATTCTAAATCACTCTAAAAAAAGTGGACTTAGATCAACTCAAATCACTCCTAAGGGACGCTCGCATCAAACGTCGTCGTTTCGAAATTGTGCAATGTTGACGACAACGACTTCGTTTTTGTCCCCTTCTGGCTCCATCACACGTCGGATTTCCGTCACTGGAAAATATTGACTGTAGACCTTGACCAAGTTGACCCATCTCTATCTCTCACTCTCTCGCATTCATTATATAATAGGGGTTCATACATTCTTTCTTGTATACCTACATTTCGGCAAGTCGATTTCACTTCTCTTCTTGCTTCTTGGACTTCTCCGCATTTTTATATCACCTTTTCCCTCAGAAAATTCTGCTCAGATCCCTAATTTTCTCGAGAAAATGAAGGTTTGATTTCTAATGTGGTCCATCTTTTATCAGTTTTCAATCTACTCACTGGATTAGCCGCTTTTCGTTAGATTCCGATTCTCTCCATCTCTTTTTATTCATAAACCACACTTTTTGTGCATATAAGTTCACTTTCCCTTCTGTGACTCTTGCTCTGTTTTGTTTTAGGAATTTAAATCTGATATCAGATTCTTCATGTTATTATGCTGATTAAAGCTTGATTTCATTTATCATCTAATTCACATCTTTTGCTGTTTTGGTTGTTTTTTTATTTTATTTTTTTATCACAGAAAGTGGTGGTGAAATTGGAGTTATTTGATGACAAAATTAAGCAAAAAGCCATGAAAACAGTCTCTGGCCTCTCAGGTACTTTTGAATTCAAATCAAGAAAACCCAGATCTTGCAATGCAAAACACTCTCTCTCTCTCTCTCTCTCTCTCTCTCTCTCGTTCTTAAGATTTGACTCTTTTGTTGGGTTTGTTGTTGTTGTTGTTCTTCTTCTTCTTCTTTTCTTTTTTTTTGGGGGTTTCTTCTTCTTGACAGGGGTGGATTCAATTGCAATGGATATGAAGGACAAGAAATTGACAGTGACGGGGGATATAGATCCAGTGATTGTAGTGGCAAAGTTGAGGAAGCTGTGCCACACAGAGATAGTGACAGTTGGACCAGCAAAAGAACCAGAGAAGAAGAAAGAGGAAGCTAAGAAAGAAGAACCAAAGAAGGCAGGAGATGAGAAGAATAAAAATTCAAAAGATGGAGTGGCACCGGCTCAGCTTGTGGCACTGGCTCAGTACAACCATGGCTATTATCAACAACATCCTCCAGTGCAGACATACTATTACAACCCTAGTGCGCAGGAGGACCCGAACGGTTGTGTTATTTGCTAATTGCCACAACATCTCTTATTATGAACCAACGAACACAATTTCTGTGAGTGAGAGAGAGAAATGGATCTGGGATTTATTTAGTAGTTTTTGTAGTGTAATATGTAACACATAAGGGTAGAACCCAAGTCTGAAGAGATTTCATGTACAGCAGGGTAGCAGTGGTGTGTGCTGATTTCATCATCGTTTATTATTTGTTATTTAGGCATTGTGTTTAAATTTATCGGGTGTTTTGAGAAGATAAGCATTGTCTTTGAATTTATGAAGGTGCCGTTTGGTAACACTTACGTTTTCAGTTTTTTCTTTATATTTACAAAAATTTAAAAAACTCAAATAAAAACTTGTTTGGTAAAATTTTTGATTTATAAATCAATGGTCTCAGTTTATAAATTTGGCCAAAAAATGAAAACACAAAAAATGTGTTTCCATTTTTAGTGTTCAGTTTTTTTTTTTTTACCACCCAACATTAGCCACCACCCGTCATCATTTTCTACCATTGTCTTCCGCCACCACCACCACCACCTATCACCCACTCGCTACAAATCACAACCAAAACCATTTCAATTAAATACAAACTCGAAATCAACAATATAAGAAAAACACAAAAACTGACACTTCACCGTTTCAAAACCAATCGGTAGGTTAGGGGATTTGGAAAAAGAAAGGAAAAAAATATGTGAAACTAGTTGAAATGTAGATATATTTTATTCATATTTGACTTTGCTTTTTTCCTTTCCCTTTCAAATCTCTTCTCAAATCCCCTAACCAAACACATAACAGCATACCCTTTTTTACTTAACCTAGCTACCAACGACCATCAACCAACGACCGCAGTCGAAAGCCACTACCTTCCACCCACCACCGTCACCCACCTATCCACCACCACCCACCACTACCACCATCCACCCGCCACCACCCACCACCCGTCACTACCATCCATCGTCCACCACCACCACCTGCCACTACTATCCACCACCCGCCACCTACTAGCCACCCACCTGCCACCACCACCACCCACTTGCTACCACCTACCACCTGCCACCCACCTGCCACCACCACCAACCACCCGCCACCACCCACTCGCTACCACCCACCACCCGCCACCGTCACCCACTCACCCACCACCACCACCCGCCACCCACCCACCACTACCCGTCATCCGCCACCCACCTGTCACCACTACCCACCACCCGCCGCCGCCGCCACCACCACCATCCGCTACCCACCACCCACCGTCACCACTTTCCGCCACCGTCTTCCGCCGCTACTTGCCACCACTTGTCATTTCTCATTCTTTTTTATATTTTTAAACATTTTGTCAATTACCAAATGCATTTGTAGTTTATGTTTTTCTAAAAATAAACAAAAAATAAACAAAAACCAGTTTATAAAATTTTTGTAAATATAAACTGAAAACGTAAACGTTACCAAACAGACCCGAAGCCTTTTGAAAAGATGGTAAAATATTATTTTTTGATTTTTGTAATTAAGCTTTTTGATTCTTTCATAAAGTTATTTGGAAAATTGTTAAAAAATTATTTTTTAATTTTTTTAATCAATACTTATTTATATTGTCACATCAACCTGTTTAAATGTAAAATACCTAAAATATGTCACGCATTGTACAAAATATACATTGTCGCCCATGTAGATCATTTCTCATATGCTGCTTGGAAAAAAAATGTTGCAACTACAATTTTGGCTTATTAAATGTTACTTCAGCACGCCAATAACCTGTCATTTTGCCTAAACAATTGTTTAAGTATCGATTATTTTGTTGTTTCCGGTTTCTTTTTCTATTTTATTTTTCATGCATGCGGCGTAATTTGTACGCAAAAGAAGCTAATGTAGCATTCGCGCAATATTGCTACATACTAATATCAATTGTCGTACATTGCTTGCTCCAAACGCGATTACGGCTTGAGTTCACGTCAATTGCACACCCACTCGTTCTTAATGGATTTTTTAAATTCGTTCATTTTTATGTCATCATCGCCCTCTGGGTTACGGTCATCATCATCACCAACACCAGATGCATTCGGCATGTCATTGGAAATAAAATTCTCTGCGTTGGCCACGCTGTTGAACGCTTTATCTTCGTCTAAGTTGTGGCGTATAAAATTATGTAGTGTCATTGACGCCCCCATTAATGGCACTTGCACTTTCCCAAAATCATATCGCAACATATTATGTAGAAAACCCCAACGTGTTTTCCATACTTCAAACGTACATTTTATTGCACTTCATTAAGATGAGTGGACTGTGTTAAATAGTTCGTTTGCATTTTTTGGCCATCCACCCACGCGGAATTGTTCCTAGTGGTATCGACATCCCTTAAATGGGGTAAGAAATCCTTTTTGGTTTTTGTACTCAGCATCAACGAGGTAATACATTCCTGTGTGTCATGAAATTAGTTTGCATTACTACCGTTAGTTAACAAAAATTTACACAAGTAATCCACCAACATTACACACCCCTAACTCATCTAACCATTCTCTGGGTGTGGGAATTGTTTTGTCGAATCTTGTGTTATTTCGTTAAAAACTCTACTGTCGTGCATACTACCCTCCCAGCCGTAGGAGATAAATGCAAAACATAAGTCAAAATCACAAACTACAAGGATGTTCTGCGTGTGTCGTCCTTTCTGTCCAAAATATGGTGGCGCCTCCCGCAGCTTCAGATTTGCCTCGACGTGTGTCTCATCAAGCGCGCCAATACAGTCTTGCACAAGCACACGTTGCATTTGCATTAGTGGCGAGGACAATAACATTGCAAAATGTTTGAAATTATGTATTTTCGGAATAGGTTTTCTCTAGTATTTTTTTTGTATGTTATTTTCGTCAACAGCGACCTGATTAATAGGAAATTTAAAAATATATGTCATTGCATTGTGCGGGCGGACCAGTAGAACCAAAAAATGGGAGGTTTTCTTCAACAAGTTTGTTGAACCCATTTCGAAAATACACATTTTCAAGCATACCGGGTCATGTATGGCTTTTTCTGTGTTGACTGATTTTTTGTTACAATTTCATATGGAACAAAAAAAATTCCCCGCTACGTCTCGAAAACACGACTCGATTTCTGTAAACAAAGAAAAATTCACATAATTTGCAGAAAACGTATCGTTGCCATATTAATTTCAGAAAACAATTTCCTATGTTCACTTTTCCAAAATTTCCTAAATTCTTAAACTCACTCTGAATGGCAAATATTTTCGTTGGGACTCCAAGTATGGATGGCTGCTATGTTATGACCTCATCAGTCGACAGTGTGTTCTTGTAAATTCCTTCATTGCTTTGAGAACGCGCATAACATGACACCACACTGTTTCCCCTAAGTGTTGGAAACAGTCTTCAATATCCCAACTTGAGAAGCCTCACAACATGAATATGAACATGCCGGCACTCTCAACTACGTCCACCCCATAGGGGCACTGTGGAAGTTGTAGGTTGCCGAGGTGCTAAAGGGTTGGTGTTAGAGTTATTGGAGTGGTTTAAGCTTGAGAAAAGTGCTGGAGCTTTGTTCTTGAGGGTGTTCTTCAAGGGTGAGCAAACTTGCTTTTAATACCCCTTTCTTGCTTAAACTTTTAGCCCTTCTTGCTTATTGTTTTAAGCTTAGCTATTAACTGATAAAAGTTATGTTTTTACTTGCTTTAAATATTTGTTTAAGATCATTTTTTTGGTTTGGGGTTGTTTCCCCCTTCCAAGGCCTTGTTAGGTCTTGTTTTAGGCCATTTTTTTTGGCCTTTGTTCTTAGTTTTGCATGACCTTTCTACCACTGAAATCCAAAGGATTTTCAGTGGTGGAAAGGTGATTTTGAGGTCTTAAATAGGAGAGGGTCATCCCCTCTCCTTGTTGTCTTGTATGCTAGTATAAATGGCTTATATTGGTAGCATGTTTGCTTGGTTTGTTTTAGCTTCATTTCAGTATGTATTAGGCTTTGTTTTGCCATGATATAGCACTGTTTTGACTTGGTTTGGACATACCTTATATGCTTTGTGTACTTGCCTTGCAATCCTCTCTTTTGTCTTAACATGCTTTGTACTTTAAACTGTCATTGTAGTATGATTTTGGTTCAACTCTATGAAGTTTTTAGCCTTGTTATAGCATGCTTAAGCTCTAATTTGAGTTGTTTTAACCATGTATGCCATGCTTTGTATAGCCACCATGCATTTTAGCTTGTTAGCTTTGAGTGTCCAAGTCACTAGCATGCTTCACTTGGCTTATTTAAGTGATTTGGCATCACTTGTTATGTTATTTCAGTCCATATAGTATGCTCATATACTTGCATTTGTCACTCCTTTAATGTTTTAAAGAGTTGATGTTTTATGCCTTATGAATGGACCATTGCGCATGCCTCCATGTTTAGGCCTCTAGGATGCCATTTTAATGTGTTTTTGGTCTTGTTTTAACATGCCATAACTCTGATTTTGGTTGCTTAAATTATGCCATATTTGGTTATATTAGGTGTAGTGTAACATCCCTTTGTAGCTTTGCATGCTTCATGTTTAGTGCTTACCTTTCTAGCATGTTTTGGTCTCATTCAATACATGTTTTAGGCTCACTTTGGCATGCCTTAGGACTGTTGTGGGTTATACTTGTCATATGCTCCTTGTTTTGTATAGCTTTGGCTCAAGTCCTTTTACTAGTCTTAAAGCTTTAAGCCTCATGCACCTTATGCTTATGATTATTTGGTTGATTTGGCATCATCTCTTGCATGATTTCAGAGCTTAACATGTTTGTCGCATGTCCATATTTGTCTCTTTTAAGTGTGCTTAAGAGTTGCCCTTTTATGCCTTAGTCTTTAGGCTAATTAGCATGCATGTTTGTATGTGTATTTCATGCCTTTGTTTCATTACTATGGCCACTGATTTGGACATGTTTGAGAGCTGTCCTTTTTAGCTTAAGTCCATCTCTTTGCATGTTATTACATGCTTGACTTGCATGTTGTTGCATGCTGTTGCATGCTTACTTCCTTTGCATGTTGTTACATGCTGGCCTTGCATGTTGTCACATGCTTGTTGCATACTTAGTATATTACATGTTGCATGCATGTTAGTATATTGCATGTTTGCATGCATTGTCCCTTGCATGTTGTTACATGCTTGCCTCACATGTCGTTGCATGCTTATCTACCTTTGCATGCCTTGCATGCTTGAATGTTCATATTGCATTTTGCATGCTTGTTTAGGTTGCATAGCATTTGGCATGCTTATTACCATTAGCCTTGTATGGCATTGTCGTTAACATACTCATGTTGCATTAGCTTTGCTTGCATGTTTGCATTGCATTGTATGTGAATCCCTTGCCTCTTGACCAAGCATGATAGAGGTTGGGGCCCCTTATGTGTTTTTGTGCATTTCATTCCACATTGAATTGCACACTTGGCCTCTTTGGCCATCATGCATCGAAATACGTGATTGATGGTCCGAGGGTCGAGGATTACACTCCTTTGAGTCTCAAATATGATAAGGGGTGTGGTTGTGCAAACATTGTCTTGCAAATATATTGCCATGCTCTATCTGTCCTCTATTGCAGCAAAAGAAGCATTCAATGGCAAGAGATAACCGGTTAGCCATCTTCAGTGCCGGTCGGCTACAAATGTTTGGCCGAGAGCCTCATTTTTGGTCGATGACCAGTTTACCTTGGCCGATGGCCCTATTTCTTAGCCGATGGCCTCGCAGCATGCCCACAAGGTGGTTTAGAAGTGTCACAGAAGTTGGCACAGTTTTTAGAGGAACAGAGCAGTGCAAACAGAGGCAACATGAAGCGTGGCAACGGATTTCCAAGCAAAGCCGACCGAGCAAGCATTTGTCCCTCTTCCTGAGGCTGCTTGACTATCTTCATAGCTTAATTAATTTGTTAATTATTTAAGTGTTGTAATAATTAGTTGTAGCTAGTTATTCATTTGGTTTTGTAATAATTAATTAGTTTGTTAGTTAGTTAATTAGTCAATTTGTATTCTTCTTTTGGTCCCTTCGTCGAGAAGGCGCAATTGTGTAATAAGTGTGCGTGTGTGTGATGCATATCTTCCAACGTCCATTTCTTTCTCCCTTTTACTTAACCGCTTATGATGATTAGTTCTAGGGCACGTTTCATTTAGCATACCTTATGCTTGCATGTTTGCATCTATTCATCTGTATTGCATGCACCAGGCTCGGCGCATCATACTAATTGCATTGTATTTCAATCCCTACTTGAATACATGTATCGAATTGTCGCATTTCATATGCCATTTCTAGGACAGCCGAGCCTATCTTAAATGCATTTTCGTATGTGTTGCATTAGCCATTTTAACATGAACTAGGATCATGCATTGATTTCTAACTAGCTTTCTGTTTTGGCTCGAAGTACACTATGAGTGTTTAACTTTAGAATACTGCATATATGTTAATGTTGCCATGAAAGCATGCTTGCCATGAGGCTATTTGCTTATTTGATATAATTGTCTGAATGTTTGTGGGT